TCTCAATGGCACTTAACAACAACAACAACACCATGAGCTAGAACCAACTAGACAGCACTTAACAATAACAAATTGCTGTTCTTAATAAAGAGCTCTACCAGCTCAGACCTGAGCCCCTCTCCCTGCTGACCCCTTGTTCCAGACACTCTGGTTTCATGTTCTACATGTCCCCCAAGTTTGCTCCAAAGGAGCTCTGTGGAGCAAGGGTTGAACCCATCCATCCCCTTCATGGGCGAGAAGACCTGATCTGCTGATTTGCTGCTATAAAGACTGTGTTGTGTTGTTGTTAAAAGCTCACAGCGACCCTGTATAGTGTTTTTGAGGAGCAGCAGGTGAGTTTGAGCTGCTGACCTTGCAATTCAAACCAACCTTGTGGTCCATTGTTTATCCCACAGTATCACACCAGGACTCCCCATAAAGATTGTTGTTGTTAAGTGCCGTTGTGTTGGTTCTGACTTATACCAACCCTGTATAGGGTTTCCGAGGAGCAGTTGGTGGGTTTGAACTACAAGCCTAGAAAAACCTAAAAAGCAGTTCTACTATGTGTCGAAATCAACTCCTTGGGACCCAGAAACAACAACAAAGGTTTGTTCTCACCTCAGGGCCTGTCTGCTGGTCTCTCTCCTGGAATGCTTTGCTCCAGGGATTAGCTGCCACTTGTCACTGGGGTCTCAGCATTTCAGAGAGTACCAGACCATGAGTTAGTTACAGTGGCTCTTAGTGTCTACCCAACTCATCAGCTTGTATTACTAGCTCCTTTGTTCAGTTATTTATTATACCTCTTTCCCCATTAGAAAGTAAACTCCACAAGAACGGAGAACACATCCTTCTTGTTCAAAGCCTAGCTCAGTTGCCGGCCCAAGCCCCAGGAGGTGGGTGCCCAGTCCCTAAGTGTTGAACGCATGGATTGATGTTGTCGGAGAATGAGTTTCCGAGTGGCCGACGTCGGTGTGGCAGTGACAAAAGTGTATATACACACTGGGGAGCACAAACTAGCGTGGGCCGCTGTGGTTAGTGAAATCTTTCCCAGCCTGCAGCCAGCCGCCTAATCCTGGGAAGAACTCCAGGCCCGGGACCCTTTCAGGCCGAGCGGAGGCGTGGGGGGGCGGGCCCGGGGCCTCTCGGTTCCGCCTCCAGGCACTGGGGGCTTGGGTTGGCCAACGTGGCGGCGGCGGCGGCGGCGGCGTGGCCAGCGGGACTGAAGGGAGGGACAGCGGCAGGAGGCGGGCTGCAAAGTTGGTGGGGCGGTCGTAACGAGCATTCGGTATTGGGGACTCCGGGCCCGGCGATGCGCCCCTGGCCCGCAGCTCTCCCAGCGCACCTTAGAGTCCCGCTCACCATGGGTAAGTCCCGATGAGCGCTGCCCGCGGGGAGCCCGCCGCCTCCGGGATGGGTGCACACTGCCCCGCGTCCCCCTTTCGTGTGCTCGCCCTCCGCCTCCTGGGCGCCTGCCTGGCCCGCAGGCCTGTGGGTGGGCCGCGATGGGACAGGGCGCGAGCTGCCGTCAGCCCTCCTGCCTGCCCTGGGAAAAAGTGACCCCCAGGGACTCCGTACTTGAAATTGAGCGCTTCTCCGCACCAGGCAGTCTCCATAACCCTTGCATCATTGCCACCACCTCCTCGGAAACCCTATACAGAGTCGCTGTGAGTCGAAACCGCCTCCAAGGCAATAACCTCACCTCCGAGGCCAGCCAACTTGTTCCTGCTTTCCAGAATCGATTCCGACTCAGCGACCCGATAGGATGGAGTCGAACTGCTGCACCTTAAGAGTGTCCCAAGACTACATATCTTCAGCCTCATCTTCCGCCCAGCGCTTAGCCCACTGTACCACCGTGGCTCCTTAATGAGAAGGAGGCTCCGAAAGGCCACATTGTTGTTGTTGTTAAGTGCCGTTGAGTCAGTTTCGACCCATAGCGACCCTGTACAGGGTTTCCGAGGGTGTAAATCTTTACGGGAGTAGAAAGCCTCATCTTTCTCCCACGTAGCAGCTGGTAGTTTCGAACTGCTGACCTTAAATTTCGCAGCCCGATTCGTAACCACTACGCTACCAGAGCTCCTTATGGATCATTTCATTTGCTGGGCATTACTTTGCACCAGACACTGTTCTAGGTCCAAGCATGAGGATGTCAGGGAACAGAGAGACCAAGCCCCTGCCCTGAGGGTGCTTCAATACAGGGTCCCTGGTGGGTATGTGTCTATACAGGATGGTGGTTATGTGTCGTGGAATTGGTTGCAAATTATAGTGACCCTACATAGGGTTTCCAAGGCTGTTTCCTAGAAAGCCTCATCTTTCTCCCATGGAACAGCTGGTTGGTTCGAACTGCCACTCTTGAAGTTAGCAGCCCGTCTGGTAACCACTACGCTACCAGAGCCAGGGGGAATCCCAGTGCAGAATTGGCACAAGAAACTTCTTCGTTGCTCCCTAGGACTAAGGTTTCTACTTTCCTCTTGGATTCAGTAGCCTCATGGGTCATTCATTCATTCTTGTTTTATTGAGCACCTGTTAGGTGTGACACTGTGGGTTAATGCGTTGGACTGCAAAGTCAGTTTGAACCGCAAGGTTGGTGGTTCAAGCTCACCAGCTGCTCCTCAGAAACCCTATACAGGGTTGCTATGACTCAAAACTGACTCGATGGGACTTAACAACAGGAATTATGTGCCACAGAGTTGGGTTGTGGCGCTGTGGACTGGACTGGACTACAAGGTCGGTTTGAACCACAAGGTTGGCAGTTTAGATTCACCAGCTGCTTCTCAGAAACCCTAGACAGGGTCGCTATGGGTCAGAACCAACTCAACAGCACTTAACAATTGTGTGCCATATATTGACTTAAGGGCTGGAGGTTCAGTCATGAAAAAAATAGACACAAATCATCATTCTTGTGGAAGTGGCTGGCATTCCAGCAGATATTGGCTTAACAAGTGAAGGGGTAGGATCATTTCAGAGAGGTAGGCACTGGGTCATACACAATGAGGTGGTTTGGTGGACGGTGACAGCCATGGGAGGCAGGTTTTTTATTAGGTGGGCCTTCTGAGTTGGAGGTGAGGACCTTGCTTACAAAAATCGGGGTAAGAGCTTCCAGGTAGAGGGAGCAGCAAGAGCAAAGGCCCTGAGGCAGGATTGAGTTGATGTGGTCCAGGCCAGTGTGCAAGGGGAGTGAGATCAGAAGGCCTGTCTGAGCTGTGGGCAGGATCAGTCTGAAGGGATAGGCAGGACTTGAAGGACGTGGTGACAAGTTTAGATTTTATTCCACATGATGTGAGATACAGAATGAGGGTTGCAAGCTAGGATGGGGTTTGACTTGATCTGTGCTTTAGAAGGCCACACAGAGCTGTTCTGTGGAGAATCATAATAGCTAATCCGAACACTCGCTAGTACAGGCAGATGAGGTAGGTATTATTATTATTATTATTATTATTATTATTAGAGCTCTGGTAGCGTAGTGGTTACGAATCGGGCTGCAAACCTTAAGGTCAGCGGTTCGAAACTACCAGCTGCTCCGCGGGAGAAAGATGAGGCTTTCTACTCCCGTAAAGATTTACACCCTTGGAAACCCTGTACAGGGTCGCTATGGGTCGGAACCGACTCGACGGCACCTAACAACAACAACAACAACTGGTGGAACTGTGGTTAAGCACTTGGTGCTAATTGAAAGGTTGGCTGTTTGAACCTACCAGCCATGTTAGTTTTCAGGTAAGAGATGAGGCAGTTGACTCCTGTAAATATTTACAGTCTTGAAACCCTATGGGGCACTTCTTCTCTGTTCTACAGGGTCACTGTGGGTCAAAATTACTTGACTGCAATGGGTTTTTTGTTCTACTGTTATCCTTCTCATTTATAGATGTAGAGATTCAGGAAGGTTAAGGAACTTGCCCGAGGTCACACAGTTCTGGGGAGACGAAGCTGGGATAGAACCTCCTGTGTGCCAGTTGCTTTTATTTAATAAACTCTTCCAAGAACCCAGTGAGAAAGGACTTATTAGCTTGACTTTATAGCTAAGCAAACTGGAGCTCAGGGAGAGGTTTGAGCGTGTCCAAGATCACACAGAGTAAATGACTGGCTCTCAGATCTTCACCTTCTAAGTCCTTCCTGCTTTTTACTACACTAACAATATTAGTGTTGGAGGAGAATACTGAAAGTGCCATGGACTGCCAAAAGAACCAACAGATCTGTGCTGGAAGAAATGCAGTCAGGGTGCTCCTTGGAGGCCAAGATGGCCAAACTTCATCTCTCATACTTCAGACATATTATCAGGAGGGACCAGTCACTGGAGAAGGATGTCATGTTTGGTAAGGTGTAGGGTCAGAGAAAAAGAGGAAGGCCCCCAGCGAGATGGATTGGCAATATGGCAGCATCAATGGGCTCAAGCGTGGTAACAGTTGTGAGGTTGACCCAGGCTCGGGCAGTATTTCATTCTGTTATGCATAGGTTCACTATGAGTCAGTACCAACTCTATGGCACGTAACAACAATATTAGTATCAGTAGCCAAGGAGTCGCTTGAACCTACCCAGAAGCTCCTCAGAAGACAGGTCTGAAAACCAGCTTCCAAAAGGTCAAATCTTGAAAACCTTATTGTGGTTGTTCTTAAGTGCTGTTGAGTCGATTCCGACCCATAGCAACCCTGTATAGGGTTTCTGAGGCTGTAAATCTTTAGGGGAGCAGACAGCCTCATCCCGCGGAACAGCTGGTAGTTTCGAACTGATGACCTTAAGGTTCACAGCCCGATTTGTAACCACTATGGATGGAGCAGCTCAAGTCTGCACACGTGGGGCCGCCATGAATCAGAATCGATACGATGGCAACTAACAAGGTCGTTGGTTTAAGTCCACCAGCCACTCCATGGAGAAAGATGAGGTTTTCTGCTCCCGCAAATATATACTCTCTCACAAATCCTGTATATGGCGCTGTAGGATAGGCACTGGAGTCCTTGTGTGGTGCTGCAGGTTTATGTGCTAGACTGCAAAGTTAGCTTGAGCCGCAAAGTCAGCGGTTCAAGCTCACCAGCTTTTCCTCAGAAACCCTATACAGGGTCAGTATGAGTCAGAACCAACTCAAAGGCATTTAACAACAATACTTATGATACTAATGAAGAAATGAGTAGACACTGAGTGAGCCACACCACCTCATTAAGCAGCACAATCCGGAAGCCAGAGGGATCCTTTGCAAATTAAAACTAGATCACCTCACTTCTCAGTTCAAGTCTTCCAAGGGTTTCCATCCACTGAGCCTTCTTCTGCTGGCCTGCAAAGCCCACACGATCCAACCCGGACTGCTTTTTCTATCTTGTGGTCTCCGATTGCTCTCCCCCTCACTCCCTGGCCTCCAGCCACTCTGGCCTCCTTCCTGAAGAGCACAGTGTGTAAGAGTCTGCACTTTCTAGCCACATTAATTCTGCCACTTGCTGCATAGCCTCTCTATGTCCAGGAGGATGATTACCATAATTTGTAATACTGTTGTTATAAGAATGAAATGTCAAATTCTCAAAAACAGGAACTAGCACTTAGCAATTACTCTATAAGTAGGAGCTTTATATTCTTATTGTTCAGAAGGAGCGCTGATGGCATAGTGGCTTTTACATTGGGCTGATAACCACAATGCCAGCAGTTCAAATTTACCAGCCACTCCTCGGGAGAAAGATGAGACTTTCTGCTCCTGTAAAGATTTACAGGGTCAGAACTGACCTGACACCACCACCACCACCATTATTGTTCAAACATACCACAAATTTTGGTCTAGATTGTTCTTTACCCAGATTTCCCAATGGCTTTTGTTCTCATTTTATTCAGATCTCAGCTCAAATGTCCCTACTTCAGAGAAACCTTTACTGACTACTGTATTTAAAATTGTACATCACCATCACTCTGTATCTCTTTTCCTTGCTTTATATTTTTATGATAAGCATCACCACTTGAAGGTGTATGATCATCTGTGCTGTAGGATTAGGACTGCACTACAAACCACAAAGTCGGCAGTTCAAACCCACCAGCTGCTCCTTGGAAACTCTACACAGAGTCATTATAAGTCAGAATCGACTCCACGGCACTTAACAGCAACAATTCCTACTAGGATGCAAATCCTTGGCACCACCACTGTATTGCCATTCCCAAGATAAATGCCTAAAACGTTGCAGATACCAGATGAATACGATTTTGAAAGATTGGATAGGTGCATATGTGAATGGGTATACGAAAGGATGAGCCCTAGTGGCACTGTAGGATAAGCACTGGACTAGTAACCATAAAGTTGGCAGTTCAAACCCACCAGCTGCTCTTGAAAACCCTACAAAGGGTTGCTATGAATTGGAACGAACTTGACGGGACCCAACAACAGTAACGTATGAAAGGATGGGGTACAGAAATGAGTGGATTGAAAAGGATAGATGAATGGATAGATACAAAGATAGGTAGATAGATGAATACGGAGATGAAAGGAGTAGATGGAGGGATAGATTAATAAATGGATGGATGGATGGAGTAGCCAGATGGAGGTAAGGAGTCTATAAGTAGATACAGGGTGGATGGATGGAGGGATAGATGACAGGGACTCCCTGGCTGGGTTGCTCTTTGCCATCTCTCTCTCCTCCATGATCTGCTGTATCTATGTGTCAGATGGATGTGTGAATCAATGGTGTAGAAGAATGGATGGATAAAGAGGTTGATGGGTAGAAGGGATGTTGAATGGGTGATGCTCTGGTGAGGGACCATTCTGAACTCTGAACCTGTTGCTTTTGTTTTCCAGGTCACCCCCCACCTGTCCTGCCCTTGTGTGCGTCTGTGTCTTTGCTGGGTGGCCTGACCTTTGGTTATGAACTAGCTGTCATATCGGGTGCTTTGCTGCCACTTCAGCTTGACTTTGGGCTAAGCTGCTTGGAACAGGAGCTCCTGGTGGGCAGCCTGCTCCTGGGGGCCCTCCTCGCTTCCTTGGTAGGGGGCTTCCTCATCGACCACTATGGCAGGAAACAAGCCATACTCTGGAGCAACATGATGCTGTTGGCAGGCAGCCTGAGCCTGGCCCTGGCTGGATCCCTGGCCTGGCTGGTCCTGGGGCGCTCAGTGGCTGGCTTTGCCATCTCTCTCTCCTCCATGGCCTGCTGTATCTACGTGTCAGAGCTGGTGGGACCACGACAGCGAGGAGTGCTGGTGTCCCTCTATGAGGCAGGCATCACTGTAGGCATCCTGCTCTCCTACGCAATCAACTATGCACTGGCCACTGCCCCCCAGGGATGGAGGCATATGTTTAGCTGGGCTGTTGCTCCAGCTCTCCTGCAGTCCTTCAGCCTCCTCTTCCTCCCTGTGGGTACAGCTGAAGCTGCAGCTCACAAAGACCTCATTCCACTGCAGGGAGGTGAGACCACCACACTGGGCCTCAGCAGGCCCAAGTACTCCTTTCTGGACCTCTTCAGGGCTCGAGACAACATGCGAGGCCGGACCATGGTGGGGCTGGGGCTGGTACTCTTCCAGCAGCTAACAGGGCAGCCTAACGTGCTTTGCTACGCCTCCACCATCTTCCGCTCTGTGGGCTTCCATGGGGGATCCTCGGCGGTGCTGGCTTCAGTGGGGCTTGGCGCAGTCAAGGTGGCCGCAACCCTGACCGCCATGGGACTGGTGGACCGGGCAGGCCGCAGGGCCCTGTTACTAGCTGGCTGCGCTCTCATGGGTTTGGCAGTCAGTGGCATCGGCATCGTCTGCTTTGCCATGCCTATGGACTCTGGTCCAAGCTGCCTGCCCATGCCTAATGCCACTACATTGCCTGGCCTCCCCAAGGGCTCCAGCCTGCCGATGGATTCCTCTCTACCTCCACTGCCAAGAACCCATGAGAAACAACGGGAGGCAGTGCTGTCAACCTCTAAGAAAACCGAGGCCCGTCCTAGAGCTGGAGGTCCTATGACCACTCCCCTGCTGACCCTGAGCGCCGCCTCCTCCGTACCTCCTACTCCTGCCCCACCGCATCCACTGCTATACTGGACCGCTCTGGTTTGCTTGATGGTCTTTGTGAGCGCCTTCTCCTTTGGATTTGGACCGAGTAAGTGGGGGTTTTCTTGCAGGTAACACTGGACCCTCCTGTCCCTCCTAGTGGAAGCTCAGGGACTGTATCATCCCAGAGGGGGCCCAGAAGTGGCTTTACCATCAAACCAGTGAAGCTTAAGCTTCGGGGTCCCTCATTTGTACATATTCTTCCAAGGGTGGGGGTGGTGTCTAGTTTCATGATTGTCATTTTGTTTCTTAAAGAGGGTCTCTGATTATTTCCGCTTCAAACATAAATCTGGCTATGCCTTTGGAGGGCTCATTCAAAAAGATTTTCTAGAAAGGAATGAATGACAAGGGGAAACAGCCATTCTGGCTTGCCCAGGACTGTCTTGTCTTGGGCACTGCCAGTCTTGTGCCCCAGGAAACCCCTCAGCCTGGACAAACCAGGCTGGTTCATCATCTTTAAAAGATTCTTAAAATGGATGGGGGAAATGTTGGGGAGAATTTGGTGTCAGGATCCTGAGATTTGTTTGGTTCACTCTTGGGGAGCTGCTTGCTTCATGAACCACGTCTGGACCTGCTAGTTGGTTCCAGGCCCCAGGTCCCAGACTCCGGCTCCCTGTTCTCTTCTAGTGACCTGGCTTGTTCTCAGCGAGATCTACCCTGCCGAGATCCGAGGGAGAGCCTTTGCCTTCTGCAACAGCTTCAACTGGGCCACCAACCTCTTGATCAGCCTGTCCTTCCTCGATCTCATCAGTGAGTTCCTGACTGAATTCTTTGGCCCAGTTCTTTCTAAATCCAAGAGCAATTTTCTCAAGGGAGTCAGGGTTTTGTATATCAGGGTATAAGAGACAGAAAACACAATGTAAACCAGTGAATGATCAAAAAGGAATATTGCGCAATGAAGAACTAAAGTGACTGAAAAAGGGGTGAAGGTGGGCCTTATGCAAAGCTGGCAGCCACCTTTCATGTTTTCTGGTTCTCGTTCTCAGGCCCACTCTACCTCATGGTGGCAAAGATGGCCGCCCTTAGAGTGCTTCAACTTGGCAGTGCCTTTCCTGTGGCGTTAGCCAGAGACCTGGGACTGACCCATTGGCTTAGGAAGGTCAGTCACATGCCCTAGCTAGACTTGTGAAGGTTCCATTTCCCCATCTGTGAGATGGGGGGGATGTTTACCCTGCCTGTGTCACACAACTCTAGTAAGCCTCTCTCTTCCTTTCATCTCTTCCTTCCTTCTTTTCTCCACGATCCCATACAATTCTGCATGAAAGGAAATGTCTGAAGCCTGAGGCAGCAGAGAGAAGCTGAACTCCAGAAGACTGGGGTAAAAGGCAGCACCTAACCAGAAGAGGTGGACTCGTTCAAATAAAACCTTGTGCTGTGTCTCAGACAACATCCAGAACCCTGTCTTGGTCACATTGAAAGTTCACTAGGCCAGTTCCTGGTGACTGTCTACACTCAACACCAGCAGGTGCCTCAGCCACCCCGTTTACTTTATTTCTTCTTAACCACCTCAAACTGCTCTAGCCCTCCATGTTGTTGTTAAGTGTTGTCGACTTGGTTCCAACCCATAACAGCCCTGTAAAGAGTTTCCGAGGAACAGTTAGTGAGCTTGAACCGCCGACCTTAAGGTTCAAACTGACTTTGCAGTCCAGCGCATTAACCCACAGCACCACACCAGGCCTCCCTTAGTGTAGCAGAAATTCTTCTCAAATCAAGTCTCTTTTCTTACTTAGCGTTCAAACCCAGTGTGAAGAGCTGGTGGGATGAGCTGAAAATGTTATGGGCCCAGAACACAGAAAAAGGGCTTCTGAGGTGTTAAGATGTTCCTGACTCAAGGCCACTGGTGTTCTATAGGCCCTGGTTGTTGTTATGTTGTTAAGTTGCCATTAAGTTGACTCCGACTGTTGTACAACAGTCTGCACAACAGAACGAAGCAGCTGCCTGTCCGGTGTCATCCTCACAATTGTTCTGTTTGAGCCCATTGTTGCTGCCACTGTCTCAATCCATCTTCTTAGGGTGTCTTCCTCTTTTTTGTTGACAGTCTACTTTACCAAGTATAATGTCCCTTTGCAGGGACTGGTCCCTTCTGATAACATGTCCAAAGTGCATGAGACAAAGTGTTATCATCCTCATTTTTAAGGACATTCTGGCTATACTTCCAAGACAGATTTGTTTGTTTTTCTGGCAGTCCATGGTAATTTCAATATTTTTCTCTAACACCACAATTTAAACACACCAGTTCTCCCATCTTCCTTATTCAATGCTCAGCTTTCACAGCATAGGTGATAGAAAATACCATGGCTTGGGTCAGGCACACTTTAGTCCTCAAGATGACATGCTCTTCAACACTTTAAAGAGGTCTTTTGCAGCAAATTTGCCCAGTGCAGTTGTTGTTGTTAGGTGCCATCGAGTCGATACCGATTCATAGCGACTTTATGCACAGCAGAATGAAACACTGCCCGATCCTGGGCCAACTGCACTATTGTTGCCATGCTTGAACCCATTGATGCTGCCACTTTGCCAGTCCATCTAGTTGGGGGGTCTTCCTCTTTTTCTCTGACCCTTCACCTTACCAAACATGATATTCTTCTCCAGTGATTTCTCCCTCCTGACAATATGTCCGAAGTATGAGAGAGAGATGAAGTTTAGGCATCCTGGCTTCCAAGGAGCATTCTGGCTACACTGCTTCCAACACAAATCTGTTGGTTCTTTTAGCACCCAGTGCAGTAGGTCCTTTGATTTCTTGATTGCTATTTCCATGATTGTTGATTGTGGATCCAAGTATAATGAAATCCAGGGCTACCTCAATCCTTTCTCCATTTCTCATGATGTTTATTGGTCCAGGTGTGAGGATTTTTATTTTGTTTCCATGGAGTTGTAGTCTGTACTGAAGGCTGTATTCTTTAATCTTTATCAGCAAGTGCTTCAAGTCCTCTTCACTTTCAGCAAACTGGCTGTGTCATCAGCATATCTCAAGGTTATTAGTGATCCTTCTTCCAATCCCGATGCCATGTTCTTCTTCATATAATCCAACTTCTCAGATGATTTGCTCAGCGTACAGACTGAATAAGTATTAAACCACACAGCATCCCCTTGTTCTGTGTGAGGAACTATTTCTTGTTCTTTGTATAAATTCTCTATGAGCACAATTAAGTGTTCTGGAATTTCCATTCTTTGTAGGATTATATAGTCTGTTACGATGCACACAGTCAATGTGCTTCTGCAGCTATTTTTAAATGATCTTTAGCAAACTTTTACTTGCATGTGATATTAATGATATTGTTCTATGATTTCTACCTTCTGTTGGGTCAGCTTTCTCTGGAATGGGCACAGGTATAGAGCTCTCCCAGTCAGTTGGCCAGGCTTCTTTTCCTCAGAGGCACAACCACATCTCAGGGCTGTAGAAAAACCCACCGCCAGCTTTAGGGACTGGAGTCCTGGTTTGGAGCTGTGGGTTAATGCGATGGAATGCAAGGTCGGGTCAGTGGTTCAAGCTCACCAGGTGCTCCTCGGAAACTCTATACAGGGTTGCTATGAGTCAGAATCGACTCCATGGGACTAAACATGAACAGTAACAGAGTCTAAGGGAGATCAAGTTTCTCTCTGCTGCCTCAGTCTTCAGGCTTCCTTTATGCAGAATGAGTGAGGGTGTGAGAGAGTAGTGAAAAGGAAAGAAAGGAGGGAGGGAGGGGAGAGATCTATTAGAATTGTGTACACAGGTAGGGTAAACATTATCATCCTTGTTTCACAGGTGGGCAAATACTTCCTTCCCAAGTCCAGCTAGGTAGTCAGAAGACTAGGACAACTGACTTCCGGCCAACGTCTCTCTGCTGGTGTTAAGGGTCTGATTTGGCTAACTGGCTTGCCCTGACACCCTAGCTAGCCCCTGCCTGAGACCCAGGAAGAGAGAAGACTATCTGGGACTGAGAGAACTGAGCTGTGGCAGCTGTTCTCCTGCCCAAACCAGTCAGACCCAGGCCAATGTGGCGGAAAGTCAAGTCTTTGCATAATCGAGTCACAAAATGACCAATTCATGGAATTTCTGAGAAGTGTTTTCAAGCCGAGCTTTGCCAAGGCCGCATCCCTGCAGCTGCTTTGCTGCTAAGTTGAAAGTCATTTTCCCTCAGGTCACGTTTTCACACTCTGAGCACGCTGCACTCACAGTTCCTGTTTTTTGGTGAGTGGGTGGCCTTCCCCTTAAACACTAGTTGCCATGGTTCTGTATTTGTGGACATGTCCTGACTCAGAGATAGCCAGTCTGTCCTACTCCCGATTCCAAACCCTTATCTGATAGCTTTAATGAAATCAATCATTTTGCAAATAGGATATTTGAAAAATTGGCTTTGGATGAACTGACTTTTGATGCTCAACCATCCTACATTCCCTTCTTCCTGTTCCCAGGGGCCATTGGCCTGTCTTCGACCTTCCTGCTCTATGGGCTGACTGCTGTCCTTGGCCTGGGCTTCATTTATTTATTTGTCCCTGAAACAAAGGGCCAATCATTGGCGGAGATAGACCAACAGTTCCAGAGGACACGGTACGTGAGGGACAGGGCGGCCTCGGGAACAGTTACTTCAAAGCCTGAGCACATTGCTGCAGGAAGCGAGTTTTTCTTCTCTTCCGGTCTCTAATACTGCCTGGACCCAGTGAGCTTTATCCTATCTTGACACACAGCTCTTTTTCTTAGTCTGTGTCTCCCTTTTTTGTCTTTGTACAGTGGAGTTTTCATTTGGCTAGAAGGTCAAGTTCTTGGGACTTTTAAAATCATGCAACCAATGAATCATTCCCGTTACAGTCGATTGTGACTCATAGTGACCCCATGTGTGTCAGAGTTGATCTGCGCTCCATAGGATTTTCTTTGTTTCTGGTGTGTTTTTTTTTAACTTGTGAATTAGTGAAGGTTTACAGGGTCAGTTTTATATTCAACAAATCATATCCTTTGCTTCATTACAATGATTGCATGTACCATCTCTTCCATGTTCCAGAAGCTCACAGTATTTACCGCTGTTCATCCCCGTGTTCCCCCATTACCTTCCTCCTTCCTTCTTGTTGTATGTTGCCTGCCCATGTTGACATGTGCTTACCCTCTAGTCTGTGAATAATTTCCCCCCCCATAACCATCATAAATTGTTTCTTTTCTTCTTCTTCTTTTATTTTTACATTTTGTTTCATTTCATTAATTACACTCCCTTCCCTGTAACAACAGTTACCCTGCTTTCACCTTGTAGCTGCCCTTTTACGTCTTATTTTTCACAAATGAACAAAGCAAAAATATGTGGTGCACACTTACAAAAAATATATATACATATTCATTTAAATATTCAAAAGGCACATTTTGCAAGCCAGCCTCCTGCCCGCAAACACACAGAGTTTCTCAATCCCTGGGCCTAGAGTCCTTCCTTAGCTGCTCTATTTCTCCATGCCACCACCTCTGCTGTTGCTGCTTTTCTGGATAGGATCTCATGCTCCACTCATGGTCTTCCTTCTTGATGGTCCTGGAGTTCTCTGTTCCTGAAATGAAAGATTAACTACTCCTCGCTTTCGGTTACACATCGTCTACAATATCAGTTGTGACAATCGCAATTAATCCTGCTAACAATCACTCACAACTGAATCATAAAATCCTATCCCCATCCCCTTTCACCAGATCCATCTGAAAAAGAGGAATTATTCAATGAGGATTATACCATACCCTCCTTATTCTGAAACTTAGCACACTCATGAAAGCTTGTAAGCCAGTTGCTTTGAGCCTTTATAGCGCCCCCCATTTTTAAAAAAATGTTTTATTGTGTATTAGATGGGGGAACATTAGTTTTACATTCATTCCATCATACATCGTCTCATTGCCATAGTTACCATTCCGTCCATGCATCATCACCCAACCAAAGGGTATACCCTACCATCCTGCCCACCCTCCCCTCATGGTCCTCAGCACACAGCCTCTCTCCCACTCTGGATCCCTAGTCCCCAGGCACTCCATCTCTTTGCGTCGTCCTCTCTTCACGTCATCCTTTCTGTCTCAGTCTCTGTCCTCACTGCTTCTCTGGGTGGGGTCCCACTCTCTGCTCTTCTCCATTGATGGTCCCAGAGCCCTGCGATCCTAGACTGAAAGGTTAATCACTCCCCTCCTTGCTATAAAATGTCCACCATTACATTAACAGTCCTCACAATCAGTCCTGGTGACAATCATTCACCCTTGCATCCCAAGGGACCCACCCGCATTTCCTTTCATCTGCCCCTCCCAGACAGGTCAGACACTTCTCACTGGAGACTCCACCATCCTCCCCGCCCTGTGGATCTAGGTTCCCTCTTGAAAGCTTGTAAGCCAATCACTTCTTACCTTTGTATCCCTTCTCCCATTTTTGGTTAGTCAATGTTCAAGTTGCCCATCCCTATCTATTCTTTGTGTGGAGGGGGTGGGAATAATTCTTGGAACAGGGATTTATTTATCAGACTGTATCATATGATGCTTTTTTTTTTTCTCTCTTCTTTTTTCTTTGGGTTGAGCTTTGTTCGTCCCATCATTGGAGCCATGGCAAGTGGGTATCATCTGCAGGTGTGGGTGTTCTTGCGTCTGTCCGCCCTCTTCTTATCAGTTGGTCACTTCGGTCTCCTCTCTAGTCCTCTGTGGTTGTGTCACTGACTCTGAGCCCATGAGTCCCCAAGTCTTGCCTCACTGTTGGCCGACCAGGTCTCTACCTGGGCTCACCATAGTCTGCTGAACGATGCAGGGCTTAGCTCGCTGCTTCTTCTTCGATGTTCTTCGGTCACTTCTCTTTATGGATGACGTTTGGTCGCCAATCAGAACGCGTTTTCCCATTGTGTCTTATCTTGGAGTAGGATTTGCACTGAGAGGACCTGATCGCTTGTCTTGATATCTCCTGGGCAGACAGCTTGCTTGTTCTTGTGGTAACAGTCGGACTGCCCTTGTTGTTTTGTATTTTTCCTGTAGGTCTTTCTTTCAAGAAGTGTCTTCTGGTTTTCTGACAGCTCCAGGCTGGTCTGCTTGTCCTTTCAAGAGGAAAATTTCCCTTCTCTGATGGTCTGGATGTGGTTCAGGCTTCCTTCTATAGTTTTATGTAATGCAGAGGCTCCTCATGAGACCTTCTTCACTAGATACATTGTAGCCCCATTTTAGGTATTCCAATTACTTATAGGCAGAAGACAGACTTACAAGCCTTCTATGGTGATATTTCTGGCTATTCCTTTCACTCTCCCTCCAGTGACTATTTTATATTATAATGCTTGGAAAACCAAGGTTCAAAAGTCAGCCAAGTATCTCAACATTATTCCCCACCTTTCCCCATTCCATCCCTGTCCCAGTCTCTGAATCCCAGAGCCCTGTTGTTCCAAGGCTGTGCCTAGATCCGTTTTTACTTCTATCTCATTTAGCTCATTCATACCTGCCTAATTGTTCTCCCATCTGCCTTGTTCTTCCATTCCCCTCTCCCTACTTGTATATTGCTCCCCTCCCCTCCCCAATACCCAGATTATCCTATGTCTATTCCCTGCTCTGTGCTCC